GCCACCTCCCAGCAGGAGTCCAGACCCCAGGAACACCCATTCTAGTCTTCCCTCCTCCTCCCCCTCCTTTTGTCAGACAGTAAACTAAGGCCTGTAGAGGATCTGTGATGATTCAAGTCACACACAAAACAGGGGCTCTGGCGGGTAATTTCCCCACAGAGGAGGATGAGGGACTACTGCTGAGTTAAGTGTTGGTAATGCAGTTGGCTTTTGCGTGGTGGGGCAAGCGCCCAGAGTCTTCCTTCCCTCAGGCAAGGGAGAGACAACCGGAACTGGGGTGGGGGAGGAATTCCAGTAAAAACTGAAATAATGGGAGGATGTAAAGTTGGGCTCCAGAGGGCAAGTTTAGAAGAGTCACAGGCCCGGAGTAGAGTTAGGGGACAGGGCCAGTGTGTCTGGGGACCCGCTGTCCGGCCGGATGGGAAACTGGGGAGGAGTTCGTATTTCCAGGCCGCAAGATCGCATGTCTGGGGGCTGCCACGGTGGGTGCTGGGGCGTCCTGAGGCTGGGGAGAGGGGAGGGATGGTTCTGGCCCTGAGGGGAATTTGGGAGTCGGGAGGGTCGTCGGGTCAAAATGAGCGGTGATTCCAAGGCTAAAAGGCCACAGGGTTGTGGGTAGTGGTCCCTGAGCTAGAGACCAGCGCACTTACCTCTACCCGGGCTCGGGCCAGGCCGTGCAAGCGGTTCCAGTCGGGCCGGAAGGTGGTGACGGCAGCCGCAAGAGCCGCAAGAAGCAGCAGCAGGGGCGGTGGAGGAAGCGGGAGGTGCATCGGAACCGGGCCGAAGATGATCCGCAAGAAGGAGGCGAACCGCTGGGCCCCTGCGCCACGTCTGGGTCCACCGGCTGGCCCCGCCCCCACTCAAGGCCCCACCCAGCTAGGGACCACGCCCCTAGCTGTCGGTCTCCTCCCCAGGGGCCTCTAGCTCTCTCCCAGCGAGGTTCGGGGTCTTCTCTGGTCCGAAATCTCCTCTGGCCCTCAGGCCTCTAATTTTCCAGCCCCAAGAGTGTCCACGCTCCCTCTGCCTGCCGAGAGCGTAGAAGCTACGGCAGGATGAGGCCAGACAATGCTCCCTTACGCCGGCAGGGGGCGCGGGAGGGATGCAGACAAGGGAGTTTCTGGGCCAACCACTCGACTCGAAGATGGGGGAAACTGAGGCTTGAGGAATTCTTGTTTGTGTCTTTTATTGCTTTGGATGAAATTCTGATCTAGGTTTCAAGCCCCTGGAGTACACATGATGGCGGACTGTGCAATGTTACGTACTTTGTAGGGGCTGGGAGGATAAAAGTTTTAATTACACATAAAGCTCTTTAGAACAGTACCGGGAACATTGTTAGCTTTCATTATTTCATTTCTTACCTCATAAAGGTCCTGTGCACTCTGTTTTGCAAGTTGAGAGACAGGCTTAGAAAAGTAGAGCGATGAGGTTGTGGATCTGGGATTTGAACCTGAAACATCCCTGTGCTCATCTCATCAAACCAATGATGACTGGATAAGGACACCACCTCCCCTCTTTAAGCCTGAGGCAGACACAGCAAATTAATCACCGTGCTCTTTCTTGTTAAATCTACACTGGGAATCAGAATCCTTCTCAACATCAAGCCAAAGCTGCATGATGACTTTCATAGACCCTTAGGCATTTCTGCCTTCCTGGGCCTTTTCGTCCATTAAAATAAATAAATAAATAAATAAATATCCATTAAATATTGCATTTTACAACTGCTTTGATTTAAAAAAAATGAATACAATCTTGACTGGATTAATTATATGTTTTTTTCTTTTAATTTTAAAAGAAATGAAAATTAAAACATATTCATAACCTCTAAAAGTGTCATGGGCCCTAGACACTGAGCCTAATGGATGAAGTCAGGTTTCTTTGCTTATACCCTGCTATTTCACATTCATTGAATTGATTGTAAAGATATAATAATAATAGGATTAGAGTTGTTATTTAATACCCATTCTTTGTAAATACATTAGGGGCTGTAAATATAATTAGTTTTGTCCAGACTATTGACATGATAAGCTATGTCTAACACTCTATTTACTGCTGTGGAAATGTGAATTCATCCAAGTTTTCCGAGGGGCAATTTGACTCAACAAATCAAAACCCTAAAAGCATTTCTTCTACCCAGTCATTCCACTTGTCAGAATTTGGCCCAAAGTAATCATCAGAGAAGGGACCAATTGTTAGGTTATCAAAACATTGTTTACCCAGCTGTGGACTTCGGGGTCCATGCTCTGGCTCAAATTCTGATGCCCAAGGCATGGGCAGTGGTGTCTGTGGGAGGAGCTGCTGAGTGTCGCTGGGCACTGGATTCCCTGTACCTTCCGGCTTTCGCGTTTTGAGGCATGGATTTATGGAACAAAAAGCAAAACTGGAGTTTCCCTGAGGACGAGAAAATTCCACCCATGGACTGCAGCAGCCCCTTCTGCCCAGAAGTTTCTAGACTACTGGCATGTCCTACAGATTTCAGGTGTGCCATACCCACCTCTACAGTTGTATAAGCCAGTTTTTTGCAATAAATCTCTTAATGTATGAAAAACAAACAAACAAACAAGCAAGGGAACCCAGCTGGTTTAGTCATAGAGCATGCAACTCTTGATCTTTGGGTCATGAGTTCGAGCCCCACATTGGCTGTGGAGCCTACTTAAAAATAAAATTAAAATATTAAAAATATATATTATTTAAAAAAACAGAAAACGACTGTTTATAATAGTGAAAAACTGGAGTCACAACCTAAGCATGTCACATCAAGGAATGAGTTAAATAAGTGATGCTACCTCCAAAGGATAGAAAATCATGCAGTTGTTTTAAATGATGCAGCATAGTGTTGAATGACATGGAGAATGTTCATAGTTATGGTATTAAAAAAATCAAGCTATAAAACAGTAATATTAGTTGGGAGTTGTGATGCTCTGGGCTGCAAGTCATTGAAACCCCAAGTTAAACTGACTTAAACAATAAATGAAATCTGTTGGCTCAAATAACAAAAAAATTTAATGGCAGGGAGGGCTTCAGGTGAGTTTTGATCCTGTTGATAAAGTCACCAAGACCTGATCTCTCTCCATTCTGCTTTCCATAGTGTCAGCTTGTCATTAGGCCAGTTACCTGCATGGTGTCAAGATGGCTGCCAACAGGACCACAGGCTTCTTTATTCATATCTAATTAAGGGAAGATGATATTTTTTGGTAAACTTCTCAGGAGAGAAAGCAAGCTTTCTTTCCCAATAGCCCTTAGCAAAAGTCTCCTTATATCTCACTAGTCCATACATGATCCAATCATATGGCTAGGGGAATGGAAATTGCTCATTGGCTTAACCAGTTGAGACCCATTCCAGAAGCCTATCAAGGATATGGGCTCCAATGGATGTTGTAGCATCAACAGAGTAGCCAACCAATTTTATAAAATACACATATAAAGACACATATGCCTAGACCGAATAACAGAATTTAGAAGGAAACACCCCAAGAAGTCAAAATGGTCATCTCTTGGTAGATGAAATTACAGGGTGAATTTTTTCTCCTTTATACTTTTTCCCATATTTTCCATAATAAATATGTATTAGCTAAATATAAACAGTAAACATTGTTTACAAAAATAATGGGACAAATGCCATGGGTTGCCTCAACCTTACCCCATACCTCAGCAAGAGCCTCAGAGTGGCTGAAGCCAGTGGTCCCATGGAGCCTGTGGCTTTTCTGCTGACAGAGCCAAACCTCAGTGCCTCATGGGCCCACGTTGTTCACTGGACAGATGCCAACAAACCACTCTCATTGCATTAGCCTAGATGCTGTGGCCTAGAAGGGCCACAGCCTGGGCTGCTGAGGGTTGACTAGCCAGCCAGTAGAACCAGTGGTAGAGACACTGGCCATAACAGTACCGGGAACATTCTGGCATCAGTACCCATGGGAGGCCCAGAGCTCCCAGAACAGATCTCTGCTTGTAAACCATGCCCTTAAGTGGCATTTTGTAATCTAGGCTAGCAGTTTTCCTCAGATGGGTCTGGGTTTGGGGTTTTGTCTCTGATGGGGTCAGACTCAGGGTCTGAGGCAGCCCTTAGCCTAAGGCCAAGTTTAGAACTGAATCTGGGACTGGAGTCAGGGCAGGGCTCAGTCAATAACTGGGCTTGGGCCTCAGTCAGTGACCAGGATCAAGGCTCAGTCTATGACTACACTCAGGGCTCAGCCTTTGACCACATTCCATGCACAGTCTGAATCCAGGGCTTAGTATGCTACCAGAGTTGTGTGACCTGGGGTCAGAGCTCATTTTGAGGTCAGGATTCAATCAGTGATTTGGCTCCATGCTCAGTCTGTGTCTGAGTCCATAGCTCAATCTGCCACCAGGTTCAGGGGTTAGTTAATGACTAGACTCAGAGCTCAGTCTAGACCTGGGGTTGGGGCTCAGTCTTAAATCAAGGGTTAGTCTGGACTGGGGTTAGAATTCAGTCTGTGACGATGGCTCAGTCTTAGGTGAGGATCAAGGCTTAATCTGGGTCTAGAATCAAGGTCTCAAACTGGGATCAGCCTCAGGGGTTGGATCAGCCTTGGGCCCCAATTGGGTTTAGTACATGTGTAGAGTCACGGTTCAATCTAAGACTTTGGTCAAGGTAAGGTATAGGCTTAGTCTTGGCATGGGATCAGGGCTCAGTTAACACCAAAACTAGGGTTCAAATTGGATCTGGGATCAGGGCCAGGGTTTAGTCTGGCTCTATGCACAGTTCTGAACTCCAGAAAAGCAATTTCTGGATACATGGGAGCCCAGGGCAGGTCAGCCTGCAGGAAACAACAGCCCCCAAGCAAGTTTATATTCTTGCAGTAAGCCTCCCCTTCCTTGCCGAAGCCGGTGTCCTAGAGCCTTCTAACCTACATGGCTCTGCTGCCCAAGATCCCCTCGCACCAGAATAAAAATAGCCACTCACTTCAGAGCAGCTGACAGCGGGTGCTGGGCTGTCTGGGAGGAGGGGGAGCAAAAGAGAGGGAGGAGGGATGCCTGAGCTCAGCTCCAGCTGTGTGACCTTGGGAAAGTCACTCCTTCTCCTTGAAACCCATTGCCTGTGGGGCAGAATGGGAGGTGAGGATGACACCTGTGCTCTCGAGAAGGTGAGAATGAGGAGACAATGACATAACACGTGGCACTCAGTACCAGTAAGGAACCTTGGAGTGAAGGGAGGAGAAATGTTCTTCTGTGCCCTGTATACTTCCTTCTCAGGGAAGACCTCCTTAATGCTTACCTCTTCCACCTTCCCATAATACCCTATGGCACACTGTACATCTCCAGAGATTTATCAGCTAGTGGCCACAGTGTGACTTCCCTTACTGTGGGCCTCAGTCAGGGTGGTCAGGGAGCAAAAGGAAGGAGGGCACACCCTTTTGTACCATTACCATCCTCAGGTGCTCTTGAGAGGTGGCTCAAGGAAAAGGAATAGGAAAGAGAAAGTCTGCCTTCCCTGTTTATGGTGGATTTACTCTGAGCCAAAGGACTATGAGGGCACATATCCAAATTTTACACGCTTTCATAGCCCAGACCTTCCATACTCCATTCTTTTGTCCCTGCTCCTCCCTCTGCTTCCCAGGACACTTCTCCTTTTTCCAGTTTGGCAATACTGACTCTCCTTCAATGAAGGAGTTCAACAGTCACTTCTACGGGGGAGAATTATTCACTCCCTGCCCAGGAACCTTACTCTTTGACCCCTACTGGCTGTGTAATCCCTAGAGCTCAGTTTCTTCCTCTGTCGAATGGGGATCTTATTACCAACCTCACAGGGTTACTATGGAGAGTAAGTGAGATAATTTGTCAATCATCAGCTCCCTCCTTTCCTATTCCTGACCTAAAC